GGGGGGGGGGGGCTGGTAGGGGTCTTATATGCTTTCGTGTGCAGCCACCGCCCATCAGTACCTACGTGCCTAGCCGTGCCGCTGCGAACCTGGCGGATGTCACATGCAATTGGTGCATGCAAGCAGTTTGAGGGGTGCTCTGCTGTTGTGCAACAAGCGATGGGGCCCGAGCAGGTGCAATGCCGGCCCAAACCGCAGCTGGGTGGATGCGTGGGATGACCAACACGCTGTGATGAAGTGTGATTTGAGCCGCGCTCAAGCGATGGTGTGACAGGCGCTTGCATGCCCCAGGGTCCCTGTTCACGCCCTGCTGTCTCTACCGAGGGAATCTTACCCAGCTCTGAGTCAGGAGGGAGAGACGGGGCGAGGCTGCTCAATGCGTGGGACACTTGCGGTCGGGCAGCAGAGGGCAGCCGCGCGGCGGTTTGCCAGTTTTGTCTATGCATGCGTGCCGAGCCTGGCTGCCTTGCGCTGGGTCGGCCTCTCCATCGGCCCCAGGGCTGGTACGGCGCAACTAATCACCCCCACCCTATCCGCCCGCCGCTCGAGCCCTGCACATCAGTCGCCGCTGCCTCACGCCATTCCTGAATTGCATGCACCTGCACCTCCCTCCCCTCTTTGCCTCCTGCTCCAGGCGCAAGCATCTCAACCCGCCCACCCCCACCGCCCCTCCCATGCTCATGGCGCGCTGAAGCACCACCCACCCTGGGCCAGCTATGAAAGCTTTCATCAGGTTTACTCACTCAAACAGCCCCCTTCATGCACGGGATGGACATTGCCGGGAGGGAGGGTTAAGTAGGTGTAAAATCTCAACGGGTCAACATGAAAGGGGGCTGGGGAAGCAACAGGCCAGTCACACAAAACAGTCAATGGCTTTGAGCATCCTGCTGCTGCAATTCGCAAGCCTACGAGATTAGGGAAGCTGCCATCTCACTCGCCTGCCTGAATCATGACCGAAATGCGGGCTCAGCTGAACCGAAAACGTGCGTGCCAACGCTACCGCTTCCCGCCGCCCTTGCCGCCGCCGCCACCGAGCTTGCCGCCGCCCTTCTTCCCGCCCCCCTTGCCGCCGCCGGCCTTCTTGCCGCCGCCCGCCGCGCCGCCCCCCGCGCCGCCGCCGGGCCCCTCCCCCTGCAGCGGCACGCCGCCGGCCACCGTCACGACGCCGCGCGCGCGCGCGGCCTTGCCGGCGCCATAGTCGGCGACCCCCTTCGAGTAGCGCAGCGGGTCGATCACCACGCCGGTCGCCTTGATCACCGCGGGCCGCGTCAGGTTGCGGAACGCCGCGTCCGGGTTGACGTCCCGCCCCAAGGGCTGCCGTATGCTGTTCTCGTAGGCGTCCGCGCTCCTGAACGGGAACGGCAGCGACGACGCGCCGTACTTCGCCGCCTTCTTGTCCCACTTCTCAGAGATCACCACGTGCGCCATCTTTGCGTCCTGCCGCGCCGCCGCCGCTGCCGCCTTGCGGCGCGCGGCCTTCGCGCGCGCCTCCGCCATCCACTTGGGCTCACGCTGCTGGTCCGCCCACAGGCCCCAGCCGGGCATGAGGCCGGGCGTCTCCTCCTTTGGAAGCTCCGCCTCGATCTCCTCCGCCTTTTCGGCCGCAAACTCGGCCGCCACGTCGTCGGCCGCAAACGCGCGGCGCAGCAGCGCGCGCTGCGCGTCGGCGTCGCCCGAGAGCGGCGCCATGTGATGCGCGCGCTCGTCCTCCTCGGAGGCCCCGTTTGCGGCGGCGCCGTTCGCGCCATCGGCGTGGGTCTGCTTCCCAGCTTTGCCGTTGGCTGCCGCCTGTTGCTGCTGCTGCTGCTGCTGCTCGTCGCCGGACGAGCTGCCGTCGCCGCCGCCCCGCCGCCGCCGCGCCCCATCGCCCGCCTTGTGCCCGGCGCCCGCCGCCTGCTGCTGCTTGCCGCCCCTGGTGCTGGCCTTGCCGCCAGTCGCCGCGGCTGCGCCCTGGGCAGTGTCTGAGTAGTATCCAACCCCCTGGGGCCCCCGTTTGAAAACATACCCATCCCTGGCACCGCCAAAGCTCTCGGATGCGATGAACGCCGGTCGCTGCTCCGGCCCCGCGGCGTCCCCGCCGCCGCCAGCCTCCTGCCGCCGCTGCTTGCGGCGCGCGCCCGCCGCCCCACCGCCGCCGGCGGCGGCGGCGGCCGCCGGCGCGGCGTCGAACAGCCAATCATGTGCGCCCGCGGGCGCTGTTCTCAGCGCCGCCGCCTGCTGCGCCGCCTCGGCCGCCGCCGCGGCGGCGCCCTTGCCACCGCGCCGCTGCTTGCTGGGCTTGCCATTCTGCATGGCCGCCCCCTGCTGCTGCTGCTGCTGCTGCTGGCCCTGCAGGCCGCCCATGTCAACATCTACGGGCCCCTCAGTCGCCGTCGCCACCGCGCCCCGCCGCAACCCGCGCGCCGGCATCGCCGCCGCCGCCGCCGCGGCGCCGTCCTCGTCCGCCGCCGCCGCGCCCGGCCCCCCGCGCCGCCTCCCGCCGCCTTCCGGCTCGGCCTCCCCTCTCAACCGCCGCCCCAGCCGCTGGGCCTTGGCCTCTGCATCCTCCTCCATATCAGATCCGTCCTCCTCGGACCCCGCCCCGCGCATATCCTCCGCCTCTTCCTCAGCTTGCCGCCGCCGCTCGGCCTCCGCGCCGCCGGCGCCGCCGAACCGCAGCCGGCCGCCGGGCGCCAGCGGGTCCTCTTCGGCCCCGTCGCCGCCGCCGCCGTCCAGCTCGCGAATCAGCGCCTCCGCCTCTGCAGCCGCCGCTCGCCGCTGCTTCTCCAGCGCGCGCCGCATGAAGGGCAGCGCAAACAGCCCGGCCTGCGCCGCGGCCTCGTCGCCGGCGCCGCCCTCGCCGGGCGGCGCGGAGAGGCCCTGCAAAATCGACACCGCCTCCGCCTTTGCCCTCTGAGAGCCCCCGCCGCCGCCGCCGCCGCCCTCGCCCTCGCTCGCGCTCGTGCTGCCGTCCGACCCGCCGCCGCCGTCGCTGCCGCTGCCGCTGCCGCGCCCCTCGATCCGCCGCCGCAGCGCCGCGCCGAGCGACTGCTGCTCCGCCAGGGCGGCGCGCGTGCCGTCATCCATCACATCCACCCCACGCTTCAGAGCGCGCCGCGCCCAGCGGCTCGTGTTTTTGTGCTTCAGTGTGAGCCGCTCCCGCGCGCGCTCAAACTCCGCCTCCTCGCGCGCCGCGCGGCGGGCGGCGGCGCCCTCGGCGCCGTCGGCGTCTGCGTCGGCG